ATTGGGAAAAGACAATGTCTGGGCGAAGGACTGGCGAGAATGGAGTTGTTCTTGTTTGGTGCTAATCTACTTAATCGTTTCAAGGTAAGTGAATTAACTACTATGGTTTTAAATATGTATTCTAAGCTTGAATCGGAAAAACAGTTGCCAAGTACTGAGAAGGCTTTTGGTCTCTCAATGACTCCACAGGATACAAAATGCAGAGCTGTGTACAGATTTTAAATATTTTTTTCAGTTTCAATGTGCTGATGATCTTGAAAGAGTTTTATTATATGTATTGTTTGTGAGAGTATTGGTTAGTAAAGATAGTTTGCTTTATTTTTACTTCTTCAAAAGTATTTTTCACATGCCAGTACAACAAGAGTATTCCTTCAGAGTCATTGATGCGGAAATGAAACCGTGATAACAGACTATGTTGTAATCACCAGATGTCATTTGTGTTCTCTCCTTGCAAAAAATGGAAAGAAGACTCCTTCATGTGACACTTGTATTCTAGTTATTCTACATTACTTCAACTAATGGCATTTCCACAGAAATAATGACAATTCCCGCTGTTGTCCTCAAAAGAACTTTCACACTGAATCGTAAGATCTCGCGATAGTGATCAACTATGGTATCACACATGTTTGTTCATCATCATCTATTTGAGCTTAGAGTTCAGTATAAGTTACTGATTGAATTGAAAACATCAATCTTTATCAATCATCGAACGTACCTGGAGATGAAAGTATCAAAAGATGATCATCTATACACCTCCGAAACAATTCTTGACGTTTGTTCTTTCAATACCAGTTTTTGTACCAGCGAGTACTGCCGTAAGAAATTAATACTTCTTTGATGATTTCATATCATTGTGAAAAGATAATATCATCAATCAATTACTTTTGGGTTACGAATTTCATGTAGCTTGTCGTGATATTGTGAACATGGTATTCTTGAAAACTACGGAGAAGGACAGTCGTTCCCAAATTTCACTTCTATATCTTAACAGCTATATTCTATCCATTTCTATCCATTTCTTGGAAGAATTTCAATATAAAAAAAAACAAATTTTTATGTGTTCAAGTTTATTAACTGAATTGAAATTATTACAAAACGTTGTTAGCAAGCTTGCGGCTCAGTGCCCTACAGCACTAGGAATGGAAGATAACCCGCTGGGTGCGCTTCAGTCATTAATACTGCTGACGTAATTGGATCATAGTCACAATATCGAATCCCATCTTGGAAATATCATCCCATAACTTAGCAGCGTTTTTGTAGAAGTTATTACGAACAACAGGCTTAGGGTTGATGGAAAGGTATTGCTTGGATCCGCCGTATTGCTTGAAGTTGGTATGAGTAATGGAGGGTACACTGAAATTGTTTGAAAATGATGAAAAACTATGTAAATAGTATGAGGTACCCAGTCTTTGTGAAGTTGATAATAGAATCACGGATACTTTCGGTTACTGGTCTCTCTTCGTCACTGAAGAGATCGAAGAGCCCAAGTTGGAAGAACTCAAACATGTATGGATACTCGTTTGTGTGTACGGATCCTAAATATATATTTATAACTGTACGAGAGAAGAAATAAGTTACCCTTAGCCTCATCTGGTACAGTACGTCCCTTCCAAATAGCACCATTGTAATGGTCCATGGAGTAAACGTAGGTTGGGAAATTGTTCTTAGATCTGAAGTCAGATTCGCGAACAGCAGGTACAGTGAAGAAGATATCGTTCAAGAACTGTAGTTACTATATGTTAAGAAGAAATTCAGGGGAAAAGTTCACCAGAGAGTATCTATCAACATAGAATCCTGATCCAACTGAGTTGTTAGCTCCTTGGTCGACGTAGAAGTCAACCAACTTCTTGACTACCTTCTCATGGTTGAGAGGGAAGAACTTCTTAGCAATTAATCTCTGTAATATAGTAATTATAATCTGATTGTAATCGAAAAGTATACTCTGATAGTGTTGACAAGATCTTGACGGCTGAAACTTTGGAATTGAGCATTAGTCAACTCCATTTGATGAAGGTAGGGGTTCATTCCCATGAGAGCTTAAAGATATGATAAGAACATCATTAAGAATAATATGGTTACTGAAGAATCCTCCATCTTTGTTTCCAAGTCCGAGATAGGCTGGTTTCTTTTGGGTGATATTTTTAGCCATAACATCAGCAGTATCAGTCATGAACTCTCCATCGATAACTGGTCCCCATTTGACTGTGTTGAGATCAGCGGTAGACCATCCAGATTGAGCTGTGGCATCATAGATTTCTTCAACACTAGCATCCTTCATGCAGGCCTTAACATCGGCTACATCTTTACAACCAACACGCTGAAAAAAACAGTAAAAAATAGTATATTCTATCAGAATCACTCACTTCGATAACATCCCATGATCCAACAGGTACAGTTGGTCCGTAACCCCACGATGAGAATGGTGATCCAGACATTTGGATAGTTCTTTGGAGGAAGTTTCTTGAGAATGGAGAAATTGCAAGTTGTCCTGCGGCACATCCTCCTGCTGAGAGTCCCCAGACTGTGACTTGATTTGGATCTCCGCCGAAAGCAGAAATATATTTGTTAATGAATTTGAGAGATTCAGTCATATCCCAGAGACCAAGGTTACCAGGAATGATATTGTTTCCGGTAGAGAGGAATCCATAGATACCGACACGATATTGGATGGAAATAACGATAACACCTTTAGGATTGTACACGTTAGCGAATCCCTTGTACCCGAAGTTATGAGTAGATCCGAACTCAAATCCTCCACCGTGAATCCAAACAAGAACAGGGAGAGGCTCAGTTACTACTTTTGGCTTAATGATGTTCATGAACAAACAGTCTTCGCTAGTTGGATGAGGCATGGCAGCCTTGGCATGAGGATGACATGAGAACCCAAAAGCTGAAGCGTTAACATATCCATCAGTGAATTGTAAAATCTCAGCAGGCTTCTCGAAACGTAGATCACCAACAGGTGGTTGAGCAAATGGAACTCCAAGGAAAATTTCGGAGGTTGAACCAGATGAAGTAACGAAGTCAAATCCTTCTACAGTTCCAGGTGCGATTTGGACAGTTGGTCCAGCAGAAACCAAAAGAACATTGGCTACCAAGAAAAGAATGGTCTTCATTCTAAAATATAAAGATGAAAACAGTATAACGTATAGAGAATATGATGAATTTATTAAAAGTGATTGAGAAAGACGACATATGACATTGGTCTTGTTTAAAGTTTAAATGAAGATTGTCAGGAACAGGGGTGATCAGAGCTCACGTATCGCTCACTTTTGAATGTTTCAACAAGTATTTAAATGAAATGTCTTCTTCAAATGACATCAACATAAGAAAGATGTTAATGTAAGACTGATTAGCGTTCAGTGTTGAAACGACAAAGACAAACACCAAAAGTAAACACGGATTCGGCAGCTTAACTGAATGAAAACTGGGATTAAACATTCAAAACTTTTCTCACAAAGACCAACTTTCATTAACTAGCTCTCAATATTCATTTCTCAAAGTTAATTTTTGGGAATATGCAAAAAGGCAGCAAAGGTGAGGAATTCTTTGGGCTTTCTCATTGTTAAGAACATAGATGATTGAAAGAGCTGAATGCTGAACGGCAGATTGACTGAGCTGAGTGAGCTGAATGATTCCACTTAACCCCACGCATATATATAGAAAGATTTACTGTGTGATAACAAAGATTGATAGCCTTTTCATTATTCCATAATCAAATAGCTCATAAACTGTAACCATTAAAGAGTTTTCCTCTTCCTTGTTCAGAAAAGCTCTCAAAGCTAATCTTCAAAATTATATTTTAAACGTTAGTCGAAGAAGCATTAAACATCCATTTTTCTCTTATCTCAGATAATAACAATAACTTCTTTAACTTTTAGTATTTTTTTAGAGGGAGAGAGGGAGAGATATAGAGAGAGAGACACTCATCGAAAAGATGATCTTGTTTGAACCCTTGCCTGGTAATGGGGAAGAGAAAAAAAAGTGAGAAGATAAGTTTGAAGCTTAAAATCATTTCAACGTTCTATGAATCTTATCTCCAATATTGTTTTATTTCAGGAATTGTTGAAAGCACAGCAACTGATCAGACCAAAGTATCTAGCCGAAATGAAATGGTCTGATGCTCTTCACATGAAATAAGCTAATAAACGGAACAGGTTATGCTGTTGATCACGGTATGATGATGTTGAAGACGTTTGCCTATGTTATCACTGTCTATCGAGTTGATTTCATCATACAGCTTCGATGTTCTGAACCCCCTGAACTGAACATTCCAGAGAAAGTTTTCGAAGATTTTCTTCATCATAAACTCTTTTGCTAATGAAAAACTTCGAATTAGTAAACGAATTGATCTCGCGAATTGGTGAACTGGAATGGTTTAAAGGCAAGAGAGCTGTACTGGAACTTAGCAATCGAATTACCTTTGCCTGTTCCAATAATACAATTCAATTAACTCTAGATACGTAATGCCCAGACATGAAACGTACTTATCATACAAGACTGTAGCTGGATGATATTTAGCGGAATACACTAATCTGAAAACATATCAAGACACAACTCAATGAGTTAAACAAGTGAACCTCAGTAGTCTCATCATGATACCATCTTGTACCACATAGCACATACCATGACTCACATTTTTCAAAAATCATTCAGTTTTAACTTTTAAACTGAGAAGCAGTAATAACGATACTAAAGTATTGCACTTGACCCAAATTAGATTTGACCAGAAATGCCCTGTAATTCGAATCAAGAGCTCCTATATAAGGGATGATCAACCAAACAATTTTTTATAACATCATTGTTTTTTACTTTTGTTTTATCTTCATTGTTTGATTATTCATTTTTCTTATTTTCAGCACTCATGAATATTTTTATTTTACTGTTTTGTATTTACCACACCACAACGACACAGTATGTGCCAGAAGAGTCCAACACCATCATAGATAATTCATTCCCCGTGCCAGGCAAACCATGTTTGCCTGGGTATGCTGGATGTATGATACCTGGTCCACCAGGAAACGAACAAACAACTATGCCACCTTCTAAAACCGGCTACAGTTCCGGGAACGGAGATGGTTCCGGAACTTATGGAACTGATGGCGGTGAGAAATCATACGGTTCTGGTAGCGGATCAGGTTCATATGGTACTGATAACGGATCTGGTTCGTATGGTTCAGGATCTGGCAGTACAACTACTGCATCTTATGGAGCTGAGAATGGTTCCGGATCTTACGGCTCTGGATCTGGCAGTACCACCACTGGAACTGATAACGGATCAGGATCATACGGAGCTGATAACGGTTCCGGATCTTACGGGAACAAGGATGGCTCTGCATCTCATGGAAACAAGTATGGCTCTGGATCACATGGATCTAGGAAAGGATCTAAATTTTACGGATCTGGAAACGGTTCAGGATCATATGTGACTGGTAGCGGTTCAGGATCATACGGAACAGACAACGGATCTGGGTCATACGGTTCTGGTAGCGGATCCGGCTCATATGGCACTGACAACGGATCTGGTTCGTATGGTTCTGGATCTGGCAGCACAACTACTAAATCTCATGGAACAGATAATGGATCAGGGTCATATGGATCTGGAAATGGTTCGGGATCATATGGTTCTGGTAACGGATCCGGCTCATATGGCACGGACAACGGATCTGGTTCGTATGGTTCTGGATCTGGCAGCACAACTACTAAATCTCACGGAACAGATAATGGATCAGGATCATATGGATCTGGCAATGGTTCGGGATCATATGGTTCTGGTAGCGGATCCGGCTCATATGGCACGGACAACGGATCTGGTTCCTATGGTTCTGGATCTGGCAGCACAACTACTAAACCTCATGGAACAGATAATGGATCAGGATCATATGGGTCTGGCAATGGTTCGGGATCATATGGTTCTGGTAGCGGATCAGGTTCATATGGCACGGACAACGGATCTGGTTCGTATGGTTCTGGTTCTGGCAGCACAACTACTAAATCCCACGGAACAGATAATGGATCAGGATCATACGGAACGGACAATGGTTCAGGATCATATGGTTCTGGTAGCGGATCTGGCTCATATGGCACGGACAACGGATCTGGTTCGTATGGTTCTGGATCTGGCAGTACAACTACTAAATCCTACGAGACTGATAATGGGTCCGGATCTTATGGAAATGAAAACGGTTCTGGATCGTACGGTTCTGGTAGCGGATCAGGTTCATATGGCACAGACAACGGGTCTGGTTCGTATGGTTCAGGATCTGGCAGCACAACCACTAAATCCCAC